GTTGAAGTTAAAATTAGCAGATCTACGTAATAAATATTATCAAAACACAAAACATGAGTATAAATACAATGGAAAAGTGATTTAGTAAAACATATCTAAAGTCTAATTCTATTCAGTGAATATGAATATGATATTAAGTATAATATTTTTTCTTACATCTTGTGTAATATCAATATCTGGTCATGGATATTTATTGGAACCAGTAGCACGTAGTACAGCATGGCTTGTCGATCAATCATTTCGACCATGTTGTACTTATTCTAATCATATGGAAATGTTTTGTGGTGGTATTACACATCAATGGAGCACACATGGTTAGTTAAATTATGAATTTAAAATTATGAAAATGAAATAATATTTATAATTTAGGGGGTAAATGTGGTATCTGTGGTGAACCATATGATAAAGCAAATAAATTATTTGAAAAAGGTGGTGCTATGTATACAGGTAAAATTGTTAAAACCTATACTCAAGGACAACAAATTGATGTTACAGTAGTAGTAAGTTTTTTCTTAAAATATAGGATTTAGAATTTTATTTATGGTATTTCATTAGTTAACAGCTAATCATAAAGGTTACTTTGAATTTCGTTTATGTAATTTGGATTCTAATCCAAACTCTGAAGCAACACAAGAATGTCTTGATCGTGGTATATTAAAAATGGCTGGAACTGATTCAACAAAATGGCGTGATGTTGATAAATATGGTTCAGAAACAATTAAAATTCGTGTTCAACTTCCATCCAATGTTGCTTGTCGTCATTGTGTATTTCAATGGAAATATACAACAGGAAATAATTGGGGTACAGATCCAGCAACTGGTCAATCAGGCTCTGGAATGGGTATTGAAAATGAAACATTTATGGGTTGTTCAGATATATCCATTGTTGCTAATGGTTCACCCGTAGAAACATTACCTCCTGTAATAGTAACAACTAAGTATATAAAAAATTAAACGTATCTATTTAAAGACATTTAAACAATATCTTTATTATAGTTCTCCAGTTAAGCCAGGTAATCCACAGACAACAACCACAACAACTACTACAACAACTCCTCGTCCATCAGGTGGTTTAACAACTTGGTCATCGAGTAATGTTCTATATAAAGTTGGTCATACAGTATCTTATGATGGTGTCAAATATCTTTGTGTTCACGATCATACATCATTTGTCGGAGCTGAACCTGGTCCTCTCACTTGGGCTTGGTGGAAACGTATAGATTAATATATTTCATTTTTTTTAATTATAATAAATATTAATCCTATTACAGAAAAATATATATATGAACAGACAGTTTTAACTTATTTTATTGATACATGAAAATATTCTTTTAACTATATCATTTAACTAACCGATCTACGGATCAAGTTATTTATGACTATCATAGGAATATAAAAGGACGTTTGTTGTTATAAAAGATAAGGACTAAATTCGAAAAAAAGATAAAAATAAATCATAGATTAGATGTTATGTGAACTTGTATTTCATATCATATAATTTAATCTTTGGATATATTAAATAATGATTTCATAATATTGAGCATTACAACAAGCATATGTTTTAATTCAAGAACATGTTATTCATTATCCCTTGAAATCAATATCCTACTTGATTTTGAACATGCACGTATTTTATACATAAGTATTATGATATCAAGTTTTTAAAACTCAATAGTACGATTAAATAATTTCTTATTCTGTTCATATCATTTGATCTATTCATTCAATGATTATCAACATGTTAAAACTTTTAGTTTTCTTCTTTTTTTGTCTAATATCAATTAATGGTCATGGTTATTTATTGGAACCAATTGCTCGTAGTTCAGCTTGGCTTGTTGATCCATCATTTAAAGATTGTTGTACTTATGAAGGTCATATGGAAATGTTTTGTGGTGGTGTTGGACATCAATGGAATACAAATGGTTTATTTATTTATTAAAATTTTCATAAATAAATTTTTTTTTCGTATTTAGGAGGTAAATGTGGTATTTGTGGTGAACCATACGATAGAGCAGTGAAATTATTTGAGAAAGGTGGGAGAAAATATTTAGGTAAAATAGTTCAAACATATAAACAAGGTCAACAAATTGATGTAAAAATAAAAGTAAATAAATACTGCGAAAAAAAATGTATATTTACTATGATTGATTATAGTTATCAGCTAATCATCAAGGGTATTTTGAATTTCGTTTATGTAATATGGATACTGATCCAAATTCTGATGCAACACAAGAATGTCTTGATCGTTATTTATTAACGATTATTGATACAAATTCAACAAAATATCGTGATATTACTAAACATGGTTCTGAGATGATTACTGTTCATGTTCAATTACCTCCGAATATTGCTTGTCAACATTGTGTATTTCAATGGAAATATACAACAGGAAATAATTGGGGTAGAGATCCGACTACGAACAAATCAGGTCCTGGTTTAGGAAGAGAAAATGAAACATTTATGGGTTGTTCTGATATTACAATTATTGGTCATACTACAACTACTATTCGTCCACCAAAGATTATTATTTCTGGAACGTAAGTCAATTATATTAATGATTGTTTTTTTGTATCAGAATATTTCTATAGAACAATCGGAACAAAAAAAA